CAAATTTCTGTAGCTACTCCCGCTGCCCTCGGGAATATGCAATAAAAACACATTTTTGACATTTCAGCACAAATTTATGCAACATATTTTATTATCATTCATGCATTTAGCAAAGTTCACAACCAACAAATAAAACTGTGGCATACTTTTTTGCTGTGAAATCGAAAAGTGCATTTCCATTGCATACTCTAGAGGGCAGCACTGTAAATTTAAGGAAATCTTTCTATTTTTTTTACTACGAGCACCCTTTTTAATGTTCTCTGAGCTGTGCACCGAGCAGATTCTCATGCAGAAAGAATAATAAATACAATAGGCCAGCAATAGTCTGCAAAATAAAAATACAAACTACAAAATGAAAACACAGTTATTTTAATTTTCATATATTTTCTTTATTTAACGCCTTTTGGGAAAATATAAATACAATTTGTATATAAAAACTAGTTTTTAATATATTAAAGACTTAAATATATATAATTAATGATTTTTTACAGACTTCTAAACATCTTACATTTTGTAGAAGCGTTGCATACTTTTGGGGCTGCAAGAAAATATATTTTTTTTTTATTTTACTTAAGCAGCTTGCTGCTCATTTCTGTTCGCCTGGTATTCGAGCAGCATTTCACTCAAAATTTGCCCACCACAGTAACATTTTTAAACCTCCTCTCAAAAAAAAAGCGCGTTTTGTTTATGAATATTTCAAACTTGAGCAGAAATTAGCGCCTTGTGCTTATTTCTAGAAGCTCAATTGCCAAATCATTTTGGTTTTTTTTTTCAATTCAATTTGATTTTTTTATTCATTTCTATAAGTTTATAGAAAATACAAAACTTAATATATATTTATAATAAAGTAAAGTGTGAATAAAAACAATTATAATGGACATCTTAAACCTGTTTATTCAATTCTTTACATTTATATTTAATCTATTGGGTGCAGACCAAGGTTTTGAAATTGAACGAATATTGCTTAAAATTTTAATGTGCTCGATATTTTATAGAAATCATCCACATCCCTGGACGAATTGAGCACACACATATGTACTTCGTTGCATTGAGCAGTTCCGAAGTCAAAATCGCCAAAGCGTTTAAGGATATCGCGTGCATCAAAACAGTTTCGATCATTTTTGTTTAATTTCTCCTTGCGATAGCGAGCGTTAAGCACTGTCATATGTAACTTGATGCTATCTCTTTCTATGTTGTCAATTGCACAAAGCCCAGTGCTTTGGAAATGCTTCAAGCACTTGTCGGCAAACTCTTGTAGGCCCGGTGACTCTACATGAGCGTAGAGCACTGTGGTGGAGCTGGGATCATCGTTCATTATTTCAAGGCCTTTAATTTTCATTTCAAATGGTGTGCGTAGATCCGTTAGCCATTGTCGACATGCATTTAACTCAGTGATAGCTTTTTGGCGTTCAGCATCATCAAGCAGCACATAAACGCCTAAAGTGAGATGTATACAACGTTCTGATATGAATAGGTCTTCATCGATGCCTGGCAGTTGGGCATCTAAAATGCTTTTCTGAAGAGATATACAAATCGATTAAACATTTATTTTATATTTATGTATATATAGTCAACATTTACCTTTAGCTCATTGAAACGTTTCTGGACTTCGCCAGTATTTAATGGAGCAGCCAGAAAATGTGTTGGTTTCATTCGCTTGCGTAGAGAATCAACGAGCAGCCGAATTTTCCGAAGTGCAGCACAAACATTTTTTCGATCATTGGATTGAATGATTAGGTCATTGGACGAATCATTCTGACGTGGTACATAGATTTCTGTATGACTTTCTGTTTCAATGCGACGCTTGGTGGATCCTTTGAATCCAATCAAACCCCCATAGAAAGATCTGAAGGCGTTATTTAGATATTATTCATTTATCATAAATTATTATAAGCTTAAATGTTAACGGAGTACTCACTTGGGGACATGAAGTGCCAGTTTGTAGTTGCCATTGGACAGCTGCTCAATGTTACATTCCGCAATATCTTCCTCGTAATCATCATCGGCATACAGATCTACATAATAGAAGGCTAAATTATTCTGACAGACAACACAAATACAGTGGACCCTTGGCTAACGAACACAATTCATTCCAGCATTTAACTGAAACAACTAACTGGCACCTAAATTGTATGCAAAATATTGCCAACAAATGCTAATCAAAGTACAACACTATAATGGGTTGTCGGGGTTCCCCCTAATTTCATTGTTTAACACAGATAGAAAATTTAAGTACATATAATGTTTTCAAAGTTTTCTTTGGTAGTTATATGAAACAATGTTCGTTAAGCGAAACTTATTTTCCCAAGAAAATGTGTTCCTTATGCGAAATGTTCATTAAAAGAGAATTCCACTGTAATTCATTTTATTACCTGGCTCTTCGTAGCCCTTTGAAATTTTCTCATTGGCGGCGTTCCACTTGCTGCTACCACCGAAATCGTCGTGCACCATGTTTACTCGATAGTTGCGATTGTTACTCATGCGCTGAGTGGGAGGAGCCAAAACATTGCGACTCATTTTATTTGCAAAATTTTTCAGTCGTAATTTTCACGTTTACGGTGTGAAAATAATATTTCAACTTTGCCAGTGATGTGCTTCATTGACAATTGGTATTTAGTTTAAATGACATTTGAGCAGGGCTGCCATGCTTTCCGTTTTTACACATAATTAATCTTCTTGGCGCCAAGCCTTCAGCTGTTGTTTTGATAAATGATACTGATGATACAAAATAATGTATTACGCAAAAAAACAGTTCCGTTATTTTAATTTTAATTAAAGGTCTTTTGCGACTTCACATTTCCCGTCTTTTCACATGAACATCAACGTTAGCGCACAACTTCCGACGATGTGACGTCACACTTTAAAGATAACAGGCCAGTTTTATTTCTTACAATCGATATACATAACATAAAAACTCAGCTGCACTCGATAAATGCTTGGGACTTGAACTAGTTCACACGTGCAACTGAATAATAATATTGTTTTTAATGCTATTCGGAATAAGCTGAGATATTTTCATCTGTACGCTTTTAAGATGTCCGCGACAACAGCGATTAGTCGCAATAATAAAACCACAGAGCCACATAAATCATGGAAAAAAATCAATGAGGAACGCAAGGCGCTCAAACGTCAACGAAAACAAGACAAAGCTCTCAAAAATCTAAAGAGAGTTCAAGAGCTCGCTGCATCTGATGTCAATGAAACAGCAAATGGAAAAGCAGCAGTCAAACCAAATCCATCAACTGTGAGCATTGCCGTTCCCGGTTCCATATTGGAAAATGCGCAATCCGCGGAACTACGTGCCTATGTGGCTGGCCAAATAGCGCGAGCTGCCTGTATATTTCGCGTCAATGAGGTGATTGTGTTTGACGATGTGGGTGTAGCAACTGCCCGTGAAACAAAGCGTATCTATGAACAGGATGGTGCGGACAACAATGGGAATGGAGCAGTTAAAGCGACAAGCACAGTACGAAGCAGCTCATTGCAATTGGCCCGAATTCTACAATATTTGGAGTGTCCACAATATCTGCGTAAATACTTCTTTCCCCTGCACAAAGATCTGAAGTACTCTGGTCTGCTTAATCCACTTGATACACCGCATCATCTACGACAGCAAAGCAAATTTCGTTATCGAGAGGGCGTCGTTTGCGACAAACAGGCAAAAGAGGGCCACAGCTATGCGAATGTGGGACTGCTAAATGATGTGCTGATCGACAAGGCATTGGAGCCCGGTGTGCGGGTGACTGTGAAAATGGAGCCACCAAGTGGTAGGTATCAGAGGTTTCTACAACTTATTTCTAAATCAATAGAAATATTTTTGTTTTTTCATTTAGATGCGAGTCGGAAACAGCGTGGCACTTTGGTAAGTCCGGATGAACCGCGGCGGGAGACGGGCGTCTATTGGGGCTACCAGGTACGCATTGCACATTCGCTCTCGGAAATCTTTACAAAATCACCTTATGATGGTGGCTATGATGTGACGGTGGGAACTTCAGATCGTGGCACTAGCGTTCAGAATGTTCCCAATCAATCCATTGGCTACAATCACGCACTCATTGTATTTGGCGGTCTGCAGGGTCTCGAGGAGGCCCTAGCCAATGACGAGAAGCTGACCGTCGATGATCCTCAGCTGCTCTTCGACCACTACATAAATGTGCTGCCTAAGCAAGGCTCACGCACTATACGCACTGAAGAGGCACTGCTGATAGCGATGGCGGCTCTACAAGAGAAGCTGCAACCACAGCAGGCGGACGTTGAGTGCGATTTAAGAGATTTACTGCCACGCAGTGAAGACACTGGGGTTACAATGGCTCGCGATGTCCTTGTAAGCAAGAAAAAGAAAAAAAAACTTGTGGAGAATACGGAACCCAATGAAGTACAACCGGCAGTAATAGCAACTAAACTCAATCCCACGCCAGCAGTACCAATGCGTCCTAATCCATTTAACGATCACAAAATAGCCGAAGTAGTACCGGAATCTATCAGCATGGAAGCAGATTTCGAGGTGGTGCCGGCTTCAGCAGGACTTGCAGCAGCAATGAATGAGAATCAGAATGATGATTTAAGCCGTTTCGATTAAGTTAAGTTCACACTAAGTTTTCATTTTTGCTCATTTTTAATTGTGTTAACTATATTGTACTGCTTCAATTATAGATGTATATATAAAAGATATTGCGATGTTATGGTGTAACGCCGTATCTTATCTACAAAAACACAAACTTAATCTATGAATATAAATCTGTTAAGGACTATTCGCTTTACATTCTCATAACTTTCATTTGTTCAACAGTATATTTATACAATTCTAGTACACGATTCTAGGTGTCGGATCTTGTGTGGCAGCGCTCGATTTATGCTAAGAAGCAACTATATAGGCAATCTAATAGGCTTTTTTCAGTCACTTGCACTATCAAACATAAGACACGAAAGTATATATTGATAACAATGGTGCACGATCATCTTTCAACTTATTACCAACTAGTACAAAATCTATTATATATATATATGTTTATATTCCTATAGACTAGATTAACGTGCAGCCAACAGGGGCTGTGCTGAATGTATATACACTTCACGATATATATTATAACTATATATAATATGTAGCAACATTATCGCTGCTTATTATTAGCTATGGAATGATGGAGTCCTGAAATCGCGCCTCTGGCAAGAAGTCCTCCTCCAGCTCGATGCGCGTATCGCTATGATAGCCCAGCAGTGATTCCGTATCCTCCTCTAGATGTCGTATGGGATAGCTAATGCCATCGCCGAAGCTACGATATATATATGTATGTTGATGCGAATCGGGGAATTGATTCACAGAGTGCAAAACAAATAGAAATCAAATGGAATATAATTTACAATAAAATATTTAATAGTTTACTATGTGAATTTGTGTCTGTGTGTATGCTTGTTTATTTTTGTGTTGTTCGAGTTTAAGGGATGATATGTATTGAATGTTGCAGTGCAATTAAAGTGCAAGTGTATGCAAGATAGAATATAGAAGTCTCAAATGATGAAAAAGATTGAAGTATTTTTTATAAAAATGAAATATATATTTGTCATCCAGCCAGCGCGCGTACAAAAACGTGTATATCTATTTATATATAAATGCTATAAAAAATTAACATTAGTAATCTAGCAAAATTATAAATCAAAATGTATAACTATTAATACAAATTAATATTAATAAAAGCATCCAAATGCGATCAAGTTTAAAATTCATTAGGTATTCTTTTTTTTTTTTTTTTTTTTTTTTTTTTTTTTTTTTTTTTTTTTTCTTTTGCTTAAAGTGAGCTGTGTATGTACGTATATCCTAACTAATAGCGATATTGTTCCTTTTTTATGAGTTTTAGTATTCATGAAATCTTTAGTCTTTTTATAACAATTAGACCACTTACTATGATTTACTTTAACAAAATAACAACATTCAATTAATGATACTTTTTTAAAAATTGCCCAAATATTTTCAAAATTATTATCTTCATATATATTTATATACGCTCTGATTTTTATTAGCCCAAATGTCTTATTGCACAAATTAAAAATAAATTGCTTTGGGCATATATTTCATAATACATACATACATATATATATATATATATGCGATTGATGTGTTTGGTTATCAAGGCAACTGGGCATACGGTGCTATAGGTAGTAAGAGTTGTTAACATGATATCCCATCGAAACCCATTCATAAGACTTACGAGTATATATTCAATACACACACACACGCACACACACACATGCTTTCAGACATACTTATACACGCACACACTGTAGCAGCTAGCATCGCATTACATCAAATGGGAAAACTTGCTACTTGAATTGATTTGCATTTCACACAATTCGATCGTCAGCTATCGCAGTTGGATGACCATTCAGCTGAAAATGATCCTTGGGAACTACTTGATCGCCGATCATATCGACGACATGATTGTTGAGGGTTGGCGCTGTCTTCGTCGTTCCTGCGGCTGCGGCTGCGGCTGCATCTGCTGTTTGTTCTATGTTGACAGTGACTTGACTAGACGGTATTAGTGGATGGTTGTTGCTAGATGATTGGACGTTGTCTAGCTCCAGATGAGGTTGGTGATTATTGAGTGGAATTGCGTCAATCAACTTATCTGTGTGGTCGGCATCTAACCTGTTGCTGGTTGCTGCCCCTGCTGCCGTCCTGCCCATAGCCTCGTACCGTTGGGCATTCCCATTGCCAAATTGATCAGTGGAGGTCACGAAGTATAATCCATCGCCCTTACTAATTGAGGTTTTAGTTTTCGTGTTTTTCCAAATTTGTGAATAAGCAAAAGTATTTGGTATTTGTTAACAGAGTTTGATTGAAAATTGTGGCGATTGTTGTTTTTGTGGATAATTGCAATTTTGTTGTTGTTGTTGCTGTTGCTCTTTGTTAGATAAATAAATTTGCAATTTATACAATTTGATTGATATATACATAAATTGTACAGTATATCGAATGTGTTTGTTGTATTTAGTAAGCATTTGTTAGCATCAGCTTTTTAAATAATTAGTTACAGATCTATGTTAGTTTATTTTACGCACTAGAGACCTAACTAGAGCTGGTTGTAACACAAAATGTAAACAAATTATAGCTAGAATTATCGCAAGCGGATAATGTTCATTATCCGTTGATTAAACACTAAACATTAAATTAGGTCAATTTTAGTAGGACTTTTGATAATTGCTTACAGCTATATTATGTATCAAAGGACTCTTCGTAACATTTGTACCTTGCAACATTTGCTTTTTGTTCAAGCTTTAAAAATTATTTTCTTAAACTAATAAGAAGAATTTTGTTGCAAAAATGTAATTAATTTAATATTTAGTGTATGGGAGTGCAAGTACTAATAAAAAAAGGGTTTTATTTCGCAAGAGGTGATAAATTAATAAGAGAAGCATAAATTGACAATAGGCAATGATTTTCAAAATAAACAAAACACACACACAAAAACAACAAAGCGTAATTGCATCGAATATATATAAATATATATCGATTATATATGTACATATAATGACATACCTGGTAAATATTGGCAAGAACCAATACTGCCATTTGTCACCAAATACCTCGCAGAAATTGGCAAAACGTCCCAAATTATATCCATTCTTGTCCGGTCCACCAACGCGAAAGATGGGAGCACGAAATGCCTCTAAAATTACAAATCAAATCAATATGATATAATACATAGGCATATTTCACAGATATTACCCAGTGTGGTGCGGTTGACGAGCACCAGATAGATGTGGTATCCAAATAGGCTCACCAAGCTAATGGCAAACATGATCGATATGAAGAATAGAAAGAGTATGTGAAAGCGTCCCATGCCGCTGCCACCTGGCTGGCCCTGTGCCGAGACAGCAAGACCATTTTCATTCTTAACAATTTTTCAAATTTAATATATATGTGTATCAACATGTATAATCGCATTCGTCAACAAACAAGTATATCCAGCTAGGATTTAAGGAAGCATGCACACAGCTTCAGCTATGGTCTCGACTTACCTGGACGAACATTATGAAGTCGTTAAGTGTGGTGCACGCCACGTACAGGCAATAGATCAGCGCATAGCCCAAAAATAGGACGAAAAACTTGTAATTGGAAAAGTTGACGCAATTGTTCACCCATGGACAATGATGATCCATTTTCAGCACACAGCAACTGCATACGCTGCAATGATGCGATCGATCCGGCTTGATGATCTTGCACTTCTCACAGAATCTAACAGAGCCATTGATTGTTCTGAATGTATATGGTTAAATAAGAGTGGAATACATATAGTATTTGTTGTATATGCACGCTGTATAGGCGCTTAAAGCCTAGCCTATTCTATATATAATATAATTCAAGCTAAATAATATAATTCCCTATGATTGCTAAATGTAAGCTTTTTATTTGCCGACTGACTAAACTGCCTAACAGCACTAGCAGCTTACATTTAGCAATCATAGGGTTTTATATTATTTAGCTTCACGCAGAAACAGTTGTTTGTATCTCAAATTGCTTTTAGTTTTTTTAGCTCTTTCGAAAACAATTAACTTGTAGAATTAGAGCATTTTAGTTTGACTAAAATGCGATTATATTTAAAATTTAGGCACAGCTGTTTTAGTATGATTTCCTTACCGATTCGTAACCGGCAAATTGCGCGCAAAATTGTTTAGAATGCGCTTTTGAGTCTCTTGATTATCGGCCCGGAATAGCTGAGTCACTTCTTCATCCGGTATGCGCCACTGAAATAGAAGATATTTTCATATATACTATTTCGATGTTTACACTGTGAAAACATGAAAACGAAACTTGCATGCCCTTAATTATCACAGCCTTATCAGCATGTGAATCATACAAGTGCACGCCTATGTGTTTGTGTGTGCTAGGTTTACCTGATCCGGCACGCGGCCCACTGGCGTGTTAATAGTTTGCCAATAGGACCAAAGGAATAATATAAGAGCGATGTGATAAAAAAACAGCAGAAATATCTTCGCAACACCATTCTCGGTTTTCACTGTATTTAGGGCGCCAAAGGGAGAGAGAGAGAGTAAGAGTGTATCGTTTACGTTCTCCGTGTGCGATATTTTGGTTACTCACGAACACATAGCTCCACCACATAGGCATAGTAGGACCACGCGATCACGCCGAATATGAATAAAACGGGTATCCACTTGAAGACGGACAAGCAACAATTACAGGGAGATTTCCTTCGACGATTGTCATCATTGCCCATTGTTCCGAATAGGGGGCACGGCTCTGCCTGTATCTGTGAGTGTGTTTGTATGTATGTTTGTATGTCTGTATGAATGTCTGTGTTTGTTGGCGGCACCACCGCTGTCGTAGCCAGCTCCAAGCTCTTTTAGATTTCCTGTTATGTTATATTGTGAGACGGGCAGTTCGTTCGATGTTTGTTTCTTCGTTGCTTCGTTAATCACAGTCAGTTGATTGTCACAAACAAGAGACGAACACACATTGGAGCTGGGTTGCGCTTTCCTTTTCGTTATTTGTTTGCTGCTTTTTTTTTTTTTTTGTATACACAGACACTATTGCTGATTGTTTTTTCTCTTTCAGCTGGGGCAAGTGAAAGTGATTGAAACTAGCTTGTAGCCATGTTCTATATTGCTTTTAGTTAGTTTAAAGCCATCGCCTGCTGGTAAGAGAGACAACCTTCAGCAGCGTGCTAGAGCGAATATACAAGTATTGCACAGTTTAGAAATACAAATATATTTATCTGAACCGATGGGTCACTTCAAGAATGGTTTGTGGTGAAGAGTGATGTGCAAATATGCATGCGAAGTTGATAATATATCGATATGTCAAATTGGAAGCCAAAAAATAATTTGTAATATTTTTGGCAATTAAAGGGAGACAAAAATTTTTGAGCTAGAGTTACTTTGCTTTGATTATTACATCTGTATGCGAGAAGCATGCATCTAAAATGTGAAAATAATAAGTTAAGATCGAATGAAAGATATCGAACCTGTTCCAGAGAACATTAACGTTGCCAGCTAAATAAAAATAGTTGAAATCATGTTGTGACGTCACGTGTGGTGCCGTCGGTCTGGCAGCGCTTCACACAAACGATACCACCGGCTGTACAAAATGTATCGAGCTAGCCCAATAAGAATCCAAGTTTCAGTATTATAGTAACGTGTGCCGTCGCAAGTGGTGGATATATATTCTGTCCGATATCGGATTATGCGTACTGCGTGCGTTTAAAATCACACACATCAAAAAAAGTAATTATAACCAGTTAATGCAAATTTGAAGAAAAGTAACTGCAGTGTTGACAAAAAAATGCAATAAAAAATCCAATTGTAAACTTTTTTACAATAATTCACATTACAAATTTTTGATTGTGCAAGTGTATGTAAAATGTGCGCGTAATAAAAAACGAGGGCGCGATATGCACGAGGAGCCAAAGGGGGCGGTCGGTCGGTGAAGGAGGTGGGGCTGTGGGCGGCAGTCGGCAGGCTCACAAAAAAAAAAAAAAACAAAATATACATACAAAAATTCTACCTATCACTTTTGCCAGCTTGTAGTTGTTGTCGTTGCCGACGTCGTTGCTGGCAAGGTTTTTGGGGACGCCTGTTGGGGCCTCTCCTCGTTCTTCTCGTAGGCGGTGGGGGAGGTGGGGGCAATCAATAAACGCGCTTCCACTAGGCTGCAGGTCAAAACGGAAGAGCGGGCAAAGGAATGGGTAGAGAGAGGGTAGCATTTAGTCGAATGCCGGCTGAAAATGTTTAATTAACAATTAAGTGCTGCCCACTCTAATAAGAAACATAATCTGTACCTCATTCTAATCAGTTGATCTAATTATGATAACGTGTGTGTGTGCGTGTGTGCTTTTTTTATTACTTAATTAATGTTATGCGCGGTTTATATGTGCCACAATCATTGATTAATTAATTGCTAAATTTAATTAAAATTTAAAGTTGCTTAACGTATTGATCTGACACACAAGCTGATTGACATATGCGGCTTATCATATTTGAGGTTTGGTTGGGTTATTAGACTAACCCAACTGCAATTGCCAATTGGGGTCACGGTCAGCGTTGCCAAACGGGCGACTTTTAATAAGCCAAATGCCAATCAGAGCAGCGGCAGGTGTACTAACACATGCACAGAATCTTTGTTGGCCTGTGTATGTGGGGGGAGTTGTGCAAGCGAAGAGAGAACGAAGAGAGAGCGAGCGAGCAGTTGCTCTGGTACTCGGTAGACAGGCCCAAAAAGCACAAAGCACAAGTGCAAATAAACAATACAAACAAATGAGCGAAGCACACACCATGCATACTTACATATATATACTTATAAATACATATATATAAAAAATATATGTACGTCTATATGTATGTGTATATTGCACTACAAACAGACTCAACAAATTGCTGTGCACACACGCAGAAAATATTCAATGTTTATTTAAGCGCAAATAACTGGCACACACACGCGTAATTAATTAAACAATTACATTGCCAAAAAAGTAAGCGAATTGCGTGTGCATATACATATGTATATACAAATAGGTATATATATAATAGTCTTTTTATTAAACTTTTTTTTATGAGTTTAACAATTTTGCATTGGGCATCGGAAAAAAATAAATACCTATCAGTTCATCTTATTGGATTTGTTGTATTTGTTAAATCAGTAAAATGATAACGGTAAAAGTATTTACACAGTATTTTAATTTGAAAATCTGTATACTATATACAAATATGTATGTGTAGCATTTCTCATTTTCAATCAAATCAAATAAATAAATATAAAATATTTTGTTGATACACAAAATAAATGTACTTGAACAACAACACAACACCAAAGGGAGACCAGCAACAGTAGCAGCGCAGCAGCAGCAAAAAGTTGAAGCTTTGATTTGGCCGCAACAGCCTTCGCCTTTACCGTCGCCGTCGCCGTCGCCTTCGCTTTCGCCCTCGATTTACGCCCTCCGATAAACCCAAACAAGCCAACCCAAGAGTAACAAATTAAATTTGGTTTTAGCCAATAGCAGCAGCAACAACAACCACAATAACACAAGCAACAGAGTAATCAAAAGAAGTAAAAAGTCAGCAAACAGCAAGTAAGCGCGAGAGCGGACGAGAGCAGTCGGCCAAAGAGAGAGAGAGAGAGAGCGAAGCAAACGTCGTTTTGTGGTCTAGCAGCAGCGTCAAAGTCAGGTGAGTGCTGATACTTGTTATTGTTGCTTTCCATTAGTTTCTTCACGCGATTAAATATTTTACGGGCTTATCAATAACTCCCCCAAGGGTGACATTTGCTTGATAAACAAATAAATTCGCTGAGCGAACGGGTAAACGGATGAGCGGGTGAATAACGAGCGCGCGGTCGGGCGGGGTGGCAGCGTTGAGAATTCCAGTTAAAGTGTGTGCATCAAGTGGCAACGCTAATATGCACTTACATACACATACGTATACCTTAAGTAAATAGTTGCACTCGTTATTGTTTTATGTGACATTCATTTATATTTCGCTTACAAACACACACACACACACACACACACACACACACACACACACACACACACA